GTTATCTCCCTTTCAGGAGGTACCAACATTGTAAGTTTATCAAAAAAAAAAAAAACGTTTTCCTTCACTGCCTTGAATCTTCGCAAATATGTGAAAAAAATTATTTAATTGAAAAAAATATTTTGTTTGAAATTTCGCGCTTTTCCACAGAAAGCGCCAAAAAGCCTGCCTCGATCAAATGAATCCTTGTTGGAATGCTCCAACCCAATGTGTTACCTCTTGATTTCTTACTCCTCTAACTTCTTTAGATAGCGTCTATGCGCAATGAAAAGGGACTGCAAACCAAAAAAAGTTAACGCAGCTCCATTGATTTGATCATTGAGTAGAAATGAGACTTAAAACGATTGGGAAGCTACCCTTGGCTTCTGTCAAGAAATTAAAACTTCGAAAAAAAGTTTTCGGTGTTGAATATGATGTTTTTTATATTCTACTGTCGCTTTTATTTTTTTGAATAAACCAACAGCGGCATCTAGCAAGAAATTTTCAAGAAAGGAGAGAGGAAGAATATTTGAAAACGCTGGGTGATTTCTAAAGTCTCAGAATTGTCAACTAAGAAGGAAAAATAATAAAGAAGAGGTTCTCGAGAAGGCTTATATATTATTTGAGCCGCACATTTTGATAGTGGGGCAAGTCCTCTTTTGAAAAAATGAAGACAACGATAGTTATGGGTAGAGCTTACCCTTCGTGATGGCTCGAACTAGCCCATGGCATTACGAAAAGAAGAAAAAAAAAACAAAGAATGCATATATAACGAGAAAATACCTACGTACTCATTTTTGTTGTGGCAAGCGTATCCGTCCGTTAGACAGAGGTGCCCCGCTATTTTTATTTAATAAAGAAGTAATATTATTAGCAGACAGAGAGACCCCGTTCACCCCGTTCTGTAAAAAAGTCATAGTTAAAAAAAAAAATGAAATTCCCTAATACTTGTGAGTATGTTTATTTTGGAAGTGATGCAACTTTATCTTAGATTGAAATTATATATGCATTGAATCAAGTTTTCGCAATTTTCAAAATGTGGTAACGTAAAAGCACATTATGGCAAAGTAGAAGCTTACTGAGGATCATTGAGCAGAATTTTTTATTGTCCTAACAAATTTAGAATGATAGTAAGGACAATTAGGAAAACTAATTCCTTGTGTATGCCCCAAGATTGCTGTAGTTTATATTTTTACCAAATAAATCAATGGTTATACAAAATTTAATAAATAGTATTTTGTTTTTATTATTAAAAAAATATACAAACGAAATATTGCCCCTTTAACCGACGATTACAATCATTTATTGATTTAAAAAAAAAAAAAAGAGACAAGTCCGTGGATATACAATTAAGACCCCTTTTTTTCTCAGTCAGCGCTATAAGCGCTATTGGATAATAAACTCGTTTTAACTAATACCAAAAAGTACAAAGATATGGCTATTAGTTCTTGACAATTCTTTCAAAATGAACAAGAAATTGGCCTTTCTTGGTTAAAAATTGAACTTCCTCATTCGAATACTTGAAAATCACGCAATAATCAGTAATTTGAAAATCATCCGCTGTAGCTTTACACGGCATATTAAACCATTTTATATATTGATTCGCATTTGCACCACTTACACCGCTGGCGGCAGATCCTTCTAACTTAAAGATATCTCGTGAGAATGTCTTCGTTGCTGCCATCTTTAATATCTTCAAAGAACAATTTTTTTAAAAACTTAAATATATTCTTATTAATCTTTGCAAAAATTACTTTTCTTTTATTTTTTCTTCCATATCAAATAAATTGTCACAAGTACCCTTTTTGAGGCTGTTACAGTGGGCCTCCGTTCGTCTGATTCCAGCGCCTGATAACACATTTTACATTAAAGCAGAACTAACCGAATTTCACTCAAGTTCTATATTAACTCTGATTCTAATCGAGTGTAAAACAATGCACACTTATTTTGCTAAATGACGTCTGCGAGCATTTTTGATGAAAGGTAATTATAACAGTTTGTTTCACTGTTATGAAGCTTCAAAATCACCTGGAAATTAGCTGATTCGCGTATAATAACGAGCGCTTGTGGCATAGTGTTCTTTATTTAATCAAAAGAAAAAAAGAGTTAAACCTGTGGTATAGCAACGTCAGCCATTGTATACTTCACACCACGTCAGCGTTTCAAAAATTGGGATTGTGAAGTGATGAAGAAAGTTTGTTGGCGATTATAAATTGATTTGAAAACTTTGAGTAGGAAGAAAATGCAATCAATAACGGCACAATAACCAAGCAGGACCTGACAGAGTGAGTGCGAGAGTGAATAAGAGAGTGTTAACGCCGTGGGAAAGGTTGAAAAGTCAAGAAACGAGCTGAGTAAGAGCCAACCTGAGGGAGGAAAACTTATGACTGTAATACAGTTTCGACTTCTCCTTTCCATTGCGTCGTCACGGGTGGCGAAAAATTAAAAAAAAAAAAAGAACCAAATCGCTTCTGAGAAAAGCCAATGCTCTATGTTTGGCGGAACCAGAAACGTGGGTTTTAATGTGATCTGTGAAACCATCGCTGCGGGGGAAAACCAATAATAAATGATGACCACATCGAGCCGAGTATCAGACAAAAGATGGCTTTAAACTGCCAGAAGCTAATATGAGGAAATTTTTCAGCATGACATTGCTTGAGTTCATATTTCAAAACCTGCTAAGAAAACCGTGTCAGCACTTAGCTGAAATATGCTCACATCTTTGCTGATTTTATCGGACATTCCTCCTTTTGATTATCAGTTACTTCAACTTATTATCTGCTTGGGCAGCGCTCACATTCGATGATAAACAAAATTGGGTCCCATTGTGAACAACCTTAAAAAGCAAACGTGTTTCGTACTGAATTCATATTCTGACAAAAAGTTGGAAAAATGTATAGTTACGGATGGCCAACTTTTTGACTAAATACCTTTTTCCATTCTCCTAAAATAAGAGCTATTCCCTCCTTAAAAGATCCCAAAAGAACTATTGGACCGAAGCTTACCTATGCACAGAATTGTTCACTAGACCTGTAAGCCTGACATTCTGTGACAGTCTGTGTAGATATACATATGGCCAGTAGGCTTACCAAAACCCACGGCTAGATAGGCATAGAGACTTGCAGAACTACTTATTCAATGCATTAACGAAAGTTGTCGCTCAAAAATTTGTCACTAGCACTGTGATTTTAGTAAGAAACCGACAACAATATTAAGTGCCGCTGGCACCTCTATCAGCTGATGCCTTCGATAAGAAGAAGACGAGATAAAAGGAAGTTGCGATGTTTATCCGCTAAGGAAGAACACGTTCTCTATTACTCATATATTAGCTCAAAATGATATCTTTTGGAAATAAATTAAGAAATAAAACGACGATCATCATTAATATAACTAAACACCTAGGACTTTTACAACAAATAGACCTGTGCATTAATATTAAGAAATTTTAAAACAACCGTCAAAGTTGATTTCTTACACAAGGGATAGGAAGAGCGTAAGCGCTATGTTATAGACTTGAAATTTCGGAATTTAGAATCACTTATGCTAGAATACAAAATTTTTATTTATTAATTTTTTTCTTTAATTTCATATGAAATAAAGTCATTTGCATATAAAGCAAGTGGAAAAAGTCATTTGATCAAGGAAACACCAACAATAATGATGTTAATGGAAAAGTTTTAAGTGCTTCTTGCCTAAGTAAGCGCTTATATTTTTTAGTTAGTTTTCATTTCCAAAAAAATTAACATACAAATTATCTACACCTGGCACATGTGCTACCTGCGTGTCTTAGTTACCGCCATCTTTCGCATTGAAATCATTGGTGAACATTAGAAAGTTTTGTTAAAAAAACTTGTGTATCTTGTACTGTGTGAACATTTATAAATGCAAAAAAGCTTTGCAATTTAGGTTTGAAGGCGAAATCTTATTAAAGACACAAATATGTAAAACAATGCAGCAAGCGTGTAAACTTAAACAATGAGAAGTAGAAATATTACGTGTTTGCATGTATTTTGATAATCTCTTCACTTGAAATAGGCATTTAAAGAGAAAAATTAACACAATATCTATAAATCGACATCGACTTGTGTTCTGAGTAGTGCGTGTTTTGTTTTTCGTCTGCGATTTTTTGATTGTTTTCGGTGTTATTGTGTGTTTAACTCGTGTGTTTTCTGTGGTCTTGCCGTGCTGATTGTCGCAGATACGATGTTTGCTTTCGTTTTCTGTAAATATAATAAAAAAAATCAAAAAAACAAAAAACACATAAGAAAAATAAAATATTGAAAACAATTGTCATTATCCTCAGTAGCTCCTAAACCTTTTCAAGTGAGTGGTTATTTCACAATTCACTAAATAATAGACAACCGTAAGGCATAATAGCCCCGGGGCCGCCGCAAAGGAATTGAACATTCCCTTAAAAAATTTCCATCAACAAATTAAGGAATATAACTATTACACCCGACGGAAAAATTAAAATGTTATGGGTACCAAGTCACATCGGTTTATTGGGAAATGAGCAGGCTGATCGAGCGGCAAAGTATGCTGCTTCAGTTGAAACTTCAAACATACATTGGAAGAAAAGTTAAAGAGAAAATTGCAGAAGGAAATTTACAATACCATCATCTATGATTTTTGGAAGACGCGTTTTCATGTGCTCGCATTTGCCGTATGAGAGAAGACATCTAACTGTTAATGAAAGAATGCTTTGATAATTAGTTTTCAAGTAGAAGTGAATCGATGATCAGGGACAGCAATACTTTGAAATTCAATAAAAAATTTCTAATGTTAACCAAGCATTTCTCGTCTTTAGACAGATGTAGCGAGCAGGTCTCAAGTGAATTTACATTACCTCTCTTGTTGGGCTTAATATTTTTTAAATTATCTAATCTATGGGAGACGTAGTGTTCCCTTAATCTTTGCTCAAAGGGGTTTGTAGCTTGCTTCATTTTGAACAATCAAAAATCTTTTTTCGCTTTAACAACAAAACAACAAAAATTTATGAATTTATTTGTATCCAATTTCAGATGTTGTGATCTGTAATCTGAAAGTAGCCAAGCGGAGAAATGCAAGTGGATCTAGGAAAGCAAACAAACGAAGCACATTTATTTATTGTAAGTAGCGTTTTTTATTTTCATTTTTTTTTTTTTTTTAATAAATTTAGCATAAATTGTAAGTTTTGTTCATTTAATCCACATATCATGAAAATGCTTTTTTGTTTTCGTAGGTTTTAATAAATCCTTTGGCAAGAAGAACAGGCAAAAATGATAATATTATCAGCAGCATCAGTGGAATTTAAATGTGATTTAAAACTATATTTGCATAGCGTTCACTCTCTTCTTACTACTATTTTTTTTTTTTTTTTTTTTTTATTTGAATGAAAGTATTTAAGACAATATTTTCATTGGCACGTTTCCAAACATAACAATATGAGTTTTGATTACAAATTTTCACCCTCTGACGCCTACGTTCACTACGAAACATCGTACGCATAAAGGACCATGCACATGCTTACTTACTTACTTACTTACTTATATATGCTCAATTGGCAACCGTACGTTATCTATCCAGAAGAAACAGTAAATCAAAATTGTTTATATGCTTATATGTGTATAATCAGTAGCATAGAGAAACCTAAGTAACACATGTCGGTATGTAAGTGTTTGTTAACAAACAACAATAGAATTTTATTGTTTTACAATTGTTGGAAAAAAGTATTGTTTTCTTCTTTTTTTTTTTTTTTTTTTTTTGTAAAAATTTCTTCACTCATATTGACCCAAATATTGCTTATACTTAAGCTTGCATCATATGTTATGTACAATGAGTATAAGCGAGCATTCATTTTCATTTCCAACGCTAGTGTGTTATGGAGTGTAATCAAAGACAACAGGCTCGCTCTTTCTTTTTTCCTCTCCATTTCCTTGAGCTGTTTGTATCAATTTCATTTAAATAAATATTTAAAGAAATGAAAACAAAAAAACAAAAGCAACGCCAACAACGACAACGGCGACAACAGCGACATCAAAGAAAGCAATCAACATGCCATACACTGTTGCTGATGATCGTTAACAATTGTTTATTTAACGTAACAAATAATGTGACAATGTACGTACAAGAGAGAAGCCTTCGACAAATTATGCTTTATAATGGACAATTTGCTGAAAATGAGAATTTTCTTCTTCTCATACATATTTAAAAATTGAATCCGTCCTCTTTTTCTTTTTTCTTCGCAAAAATTTTTAAACTTTGAAAAGTTTTTAATTGGCAAACACAAAGTCAACTCTTCAAATTAACGTCACTCATACGTTCCGATCAAGTGACCACAATGAATCAGTTTACATGACATACATGCTTGAGACAACTTACACGACGAACATAATATATATATATATACATATGATAAAACCAAAGGCAGTTAACAAGGCTATATAAAATAAAAATGGATTTATTTTACTACAAACACAACTGCAAGAAATTAATTTTTCCTTTCGATTTGTTGCACCCAGATGTACGAATCAAAGGTGTCCAAGCATTGCTGACTTCCGCAGTTCCAAGAAGTGAAAAAGACAGTTCTCTCCTCCTATTTAAAAGCTTTTGCTTTGAAAAGATAAAAATGCAAACCAGATATAATACTGTTACGGAAATCCCAAAACCTGTTCATTCCAGCTAAGCAATAAAATCCCTAAAGAGGGAAAAGTTAAATACACATTCGCAGCGTGCAGCTGCCGGCCGAGGAAAACGAGTACCAGGTTAACGAATTAAAAATCGTAAAATTTGGCACTAGTAATATGATGGTAAAAAAGTATATAAATAGAATATTTGTGGGAGGAAGAGTTAGTGGAAAATGAATACTTAAGTTGAGCAGTTGAAAGTACTGCCAACAATATAAAATCTGAATAATCCTACATTTAAAGAAATATAATTGTAAATAAAAGAACTTGAAAGTTGAAATGCATTTCTCTTGATCAAAATATCCACGATCTAGTAATATGGACTGTATCGCAGAAAAGCGAATTTTATAACAATATGTTAGAATTGCGGAAAATAAGATACATTTCCCTGAATGACTTACGAATCATTTTCAGCAAACATACGAACAGGTTTGCTTGAATTGACTTAAAGAATTAGCGTGATCCAGCAAACTTGACTTTTCCGTGAAAGAAAGACATTTTAATCAACTGTATTCCGTTAATCTACATTTCCTATGCGAACACTTTTTTCCACCTAGTAAGAGTAGGCGGTGATTTGAACTTTGGGTAGGCAAGAGCTGGAAAAAACATTAGGCTTTGGCAATTATACATATAGCAATGGTGAAAATCGGTTTCAACGCTAGACTCACCTACGTTTTGTCTACACTTATTGGGTCAAATGGATCACTTTCCCTCATTGTTATTGTCAGATTGCCGCAGTCAAAAAAACTGGAAACAATATGTTGTACTTTGGCACATTCGAGCTAATAAATAGTTGCCCACATGCACGCCTGCAATAGATAAGGAATTAACACAAGCTCGAGAAAATACCGACAATACTTAGCATATTCTCGTCTATAAGTTTTGATCTGGTAAAGATATCTCCAAATGCTAATGGGCTAATTAAGGGAGTTCTCCAAAAATAGGTACAAAAAAGAAGAAAAAAACAATCCGGTCATGACCGAATCTTTCATACCCATCACCGTTATCCTAAAAAAGACAAAAAAAGTAAAAGAACTAAATTGTCATGATCTATAATGTGGAGTGGGCGCGACTGAGTTTTTCTATTTTCAATACAAAAATTTTTGCCGCATAGGCATGCGGGCGTTGTAAACGTGTCCTTGAGAAACTTTAAGTCACTTCCAAATTCTTTTGCAAATTTGTACCCGATATCTTCATTTTCGGGAACGGTAGAATCTTTAACACACAGTTGGGCAGACGAACAGGCGGACATGCTTACGTGTATTCAATATTTGAGACTGATCAAGAATTTATTAATTTTCCGAGATTTTTTAATCTTGTTTCTGCGCGTTATAAAGGTATTGAAAAAAAAATTAAATTTTTATACACTATAACATTGCATTTTTGTACAGGTGCTACAGCATCGCCCATATTCATATGCTATAGTATATGAGTAATGATCGAAAAACCATCTTTTCACTCCTTTTGAAGAAGAGAGCTGTTCTCAGTTTACGCAGCGCTGTGAGTGTGTCCTTCGACTGACTTGGCCAACTTTCGATAACGGTCAGAGTGCAAGAACTTCGAACGTTTCTGCCAAATTTGGAGCCATAGTTGCATTTTTTGCGGTCAGGAGAATAACAGATTACAGAGCCATACAGGCAAACAAATGTATATATATACCTTGCGGCGTCTCTGTTGCTTCCGTCCGGGCGTTGCAAACGTTTTGACGAAATGAATATACTTAAGCACGGCTAATAGTGAAGCTCTTTATTTCTGCGAAGGTATTAATTAAATCGAAAAGTTTTCATAAACAATTGTCTGATATTTTTCACAGATCCGTGTTACAGGGGAAATCCGCCCTTTGTTTAATTTAAAATTAGTAAAAAATTCAAATCTATTAAAAACATATCTCTATTTTGAAATATTTACGATCGCTGTTCATGATCTTTTGCCTTTTACTAAGTATGAGGTGAGAATTCCGTGATAGTCTTGCAATTTTTGTTAACCATTGCTCTGCTAATTATGACCGCATTGATCTGAATCAGTGGTAATCATAAGGAGCCAGTTCTGGAGAATACAGCGCAATTGCCCAAAGTTCCTATCCCAAGTTGAAGATTCCTTCCTTGGTGGCTTCTGTTGTAGATCTCAAATCTACGATATTTGTTTGTTTCGATTAGGTTATGACATGCCGATTTTGCTGCCTTTTGCATTTTCTCCACTATATGCAACCAAAATGAAATTGCTTGCTGACTTATTCCTAGCTACGTAGTAAGTTTTCTTTGAGTTTGTGGTAGGGACTTTCGTGTAGTAAACTTTGAATTTCTCAGTCCAATATATTTTGTGGAGCTGAACAAAAAATCTTGCAAAGAACTCCTCAATTGTTTCATAGCTTACTGCATTTTCACCCTGAGACAGCTTAATCATTTCCGTAGCCTAAGCTACATTTCTTCCAGTTGAAAACAGATTAACACGTAGTGCTGTAAATGCTGCTTGTTGACATTCATCTCTTTACACCTTGCTATACAGTGAACGAGAGTTTGTCAACAATATATATATCATACAAGACCATGTATATCGTACAAACACCAATATATAAGCTACAAGTATATCTTTTACAGCAAGCAATTTTAAAATAATGAGCATTTTTACTACTACCTACTGTGTATGAGCACAAACGTATTCATCCCTCTCCTTTTATGTATGCTTTACATTTACGAAGGGATTAAGCTTAAACCTGAAGATAAAACTTTGTTTTATCAATTTCAAATATATTACTTTTCTATTGGTGGCCTTTATCCAACTTTTTCCCGCATTGAGTTGAATTTGAATTTTTGAATACACATTTCATTTTACCTTCTTCACCATGTTCTTTGAGACGGACTACTACAGTTTCTATAAAATAAAGAGAAAACAAATCGCAAATCAATGAATCGACAGTTTTTCTTTTCGTTAATTTGAACGTGACGTATATTCCCTTTGACAATTTCCCGAGAGAATGGCGAAAGTAGTATAAAGAATGCAGCACCGCAGAGCATTGTATAAAATAGTACAACTTGATTTATGTCTTTATTAATTCTAAGCAATAGATTCGATATTATTTCTCTAATATTTACTGTGTTTATGTTTGTATGATATTTCACAGAATACTTTCTGGTGTGCCTTGGGAGCCATAACATTAGTGGTTATTGCCGCCTTATCTTATTGGTTACGAAAATGCAGGTAATTTAGCATTATAATTAATAATATAAAATAAAATGTAAATAAAATATAAAATAAATATTACAAAAATATTACTCTTTTAATGCAGTACCGAAAAAAGAGAAACATATGAGTTAAAGGACACCTGCGTTAAAAATATTCGATTGTTTCCTAACGAAATCTACATACATTTTAATGAAATCTTATTAAATAAGTAGATCTCACGGTATTCTTCTCTTATTGATAATTTCATGAAATTTT